TGAGACTGATATGACTGGACGTAGGTACCCAGATTGTCAAAGTAAACAATTTCCTGTCTAATACAATAAAGATTTTCTCAGGCGTCGCCCAAGGTTCCCATCTAGCATTACTGCTCTTTAATTGCTTTATAAATGATACCGGATCATGGTTTAAGCACAATTATCATAACCTCTTTGCAGACGATATGAAACTTTTAAAAGTGATCTCCGGTACAGGGGACTGTCTTTTGCTACAGCATGATCTTAATGAGTTTGTACAATGTACCATGATGGTGCAAGAGAAATGGAATGGAGCTAAATGTATCAAAATGTAAGCTAATGATCTTTTCTTGCAACCTTCAATTACACCATTGACGGAAATTCACTTTTGATGGTTGAAACAATAACTGATCTCGGCATAGTTCTTGACCCAGAACTATCCTACACTGACCATATCACTTTCATAGTAAATAAATCACTTGGAATGTTAGGATTCCTAAAATGAAATACTCAAGATTTTAACTCAAAATTCTTTCTTTTAGTCTAGTCAGGTCAAACTTAGAATATGCCTCATCTATTTGGAACCTTCACTACGAAATACATACTACTAGAATGGAGGGTGTACAGAGAAGATTCCTTCGCTACATTAATTATAAATTTTTCAATAATGAGTTAAGCTATGAAGCTCTGCTCCAGAGACTAAAGCTGCAAACTTCATCGACCAGGAGAAATATCAGGGACCTCTATATTTGCTTTTTACATTAAGTACCTAACTCTATAGTGGATTATGCCTATCTAACAACCATGCATGATTAACCTTCGTTCCTCATTTCAACACAAGATATCGTTAAACTTACCATATTCCTTTTTACCGCACAAACTATGGCAGAAACTCATTTTTCCTACGAACTATGACTATTGCCAATCAGAATATCAATCTAGAATTTTTCACTACACCTGAAGAATTTGAACAACTCTCACAGACCCACTTAACTCAATCACCACCTAATTATCACAATCCTGAACATTTGTATGTATAAGACAACCTATAATTATTAAATTTATATGAAAATTGATATAATATTAAACACTTCAGTTAATTTGATAAGTAGTCGAAGTTTCGGTAGGTACGCACCCTTCAAAATCCTTGAGGTCACTGCAAGAATCTGAGTTTACAGGTACTTTTCTGGGGTACATATTTGTTTCCAAGCTCGATATTGTCATTACAGTTTATATATATTTTCCAGGCTGCCGTTGCGAGTTGGTAGAGGATAAGGAAGGATGTGAAACGGAAAAAACTGATGTAAAATGGGTGGGATAGCATCTGGTTCCTGGAGGAGAACCGTCTCTCGTGGGCAGGATCACATACGAACAGAATCACTATATTTGTTAGTTTTTGTACTAAAATTGATGACATTTTTTATAAGTTGAATAAACCTTATGGCCGTTGTATGTAATAGTAAACACCAATAAATCTTGATAAAAAATTCATTGTTAAATGTTCTAGCCCACACATTGCTAGTAAATCCTACACTGGCGCCTTTTCTCACCTAAAACTTACACCTTACTCCCCACAGTACCAAATGAATTATGAATGAATGGGAATGGGTGTGTCGTCAAGTCCATCAATTTATTAACAAAACTAGTAGTTATGAGATTCAGAATCATGTCAATAACTTTGTCTAATAATGGCTTAGTGCCATGATAGAAAATGAGAAATTATTATTTTGAAGATGATTATTCTCAATTAAAAATGTGTTGTCTACGAAAAATAGAATATTAAAGAACTTCTAGTCTAGTCTACTGTAAATAGGATAATAATTGTGCATGCATGAACAGATCCTACATTTAAATTTATGCAGAATTGCAACTGCCTTCAAACCACGTCACGGTCCAGTATTTACGTTGAATTAAAACATGAACTATTAAAATTTTTATATCTTCCCTACGCCTACCTCATTACTGCAGTTTTAATTAAAAGAAAATGCAACTTTTTATGGCGTTATCTCCCTATGTAAAGCTTTTAAGCATAAAAGGGCAAATAAAAAGACTCTGCCTGCAGCTTTCAAAGTAAGTTTAGATTCATTAATTTGACATCGTCATTTATCAAAGATTTTATATTGTTGGAAGGAAGTTACTTTTTTGTTTTTCCTAGTGGATTTTCATATAGTTTAGGAAGAGTCGTCCACCTTGTTTTTTTTTTACCTTATCTATCTATTATTGAAGTCAGTGACACAGACCCTTAGAACACTGTTAGTTTCAGAAATTGTTCTTCAGTTTTCGTATTGTTACTTGTACGGGTTCGCAGAAAAGTGAGACTACTTTTTCGAACTTTAACGAATTTTATTAAACACAATAACATAAAAATCACTCGAAATTTAACAGTACTTAACACTCTGAACTACTCCAAATAAAGCTTATACGGCACGATTATTTTCGAACGTGGTTATTTAGTTCCTGACTTTACAATTTACTGCACTTATAGTACGTCACTCAGAACTGATCCTTACGCGGTGCGCACTATGGCTTTTATAGGTGCGTGCGTCCAATTTATTTTTCAGCTCCACGAAAGACCGTTGACATTCAGGTATCCAATCAAAATGAGCGTTCTTTTCAGTTAGTTCATCTAAAGGCTTCGCAATCTTCTCAAAATCCTTGACAAACCGGCGGTAGTAACTGCAGAGTCCCAGGAAGCTTCTAACTTCATGTTTATTCTTTGGTCTGGGCCAATCTCGCACAGCTTGGACTTTATCTGGATCTGTCTCTATTCCTTTTGATGAGACGACATGGTCGAGGAAGTTTACTTTTTCCAGGAATAGGACACACTTTTTGTGATTTAGTTGCAAATTGGCTCTTCAAATCCTGGCAAAAATTTCCTTCAAATTCGACAGGTGTTCGTTGAAATCTTTGCCAATCACCATGACATCATCCAGATATACCATGCACGTTTCCCAAGACAGTCCTCACAAAACTAACCCAATCAGTCTTTCAAAAGTGGCAGGTGCATTGCATAATCCAAACGGCATGACGTTAAATTGATATAATCCGTTTCCTGCAGCAAATGCGGACTTTTCTTTATCCTCTTAATTGAGTTTCACCTGCCAATATCCACAGGTCTGTATCTTTTACTCCATCGATAAAGTACTAGACATTTATCTGTTCAATGAAGTCTTCAGGAGCTTGTGGATACGCCAATCTCACCATTCTCTCGATGTCGCTACTAAATTCCTGCAGTGTCTCAGATGGACCTTGGACTCAGCTTTTGAGTTGACTCTGGTAGAATTAACTGAGATGCGTTTCCTTACCTCAGCTCTAATGCTCCTACAACAGCTGCATAATCACTTTGTTTTGCCTCGGGAATATTTTGAAGAATTTCAAGCGCCTTTCCTCCTAGTGCAAGTACCAATGATGTTGCTTTTTGCTGGTCATCCCATCCATTTGCACTAGCAGCGGCCTCAAACTGTCGTTTATATATGGACCATGATGTTTCGCCGTCAAAAGTTGATGGTTTGAGTTGGCCGCGTACGATTGGGCTCACCGATACATCCATTTTGCTGGTACTTTCGTTGATTTTTTCCCTCACTTATCCCACTTCTGACACCAATTGTACTTATACGGGCTCGCAGATAAGTGAGACTTCTTTTTCGAACTTTAAGGCCTCAACGGCCCCCCCTTCAAATTATATTTTAGTTCCAAAAAAAAAATTATAGATGGCGCCAAGATGAAAGCATTTTTACAGTGGAGCATTTTAAATATTATAGCGAATTCAATTTGCAGAATCAGTGCAACTTTCTTCACTCAGTTCGCACTGATTGGCTTATGAGATTATGGAGGGATTTGTATTTCCATGCCTTGTATGACTTCAAATTTTGTTCTACTCTGTAAATGTGATGTTTTGTTGTAGAGCGGGTTTATAACAGTATGATTAGCGCATCTCTGCTGAACTAAGACGATGTAATATTTCACGTTGAAGTACCTAATGATGCTTCAATATATGTATAACATTGAGTACCGAATAACATCCCCAAATTGCAGCTAATTGTTCAAAATATAAACTCTTCCTGACGAACCTACCTCGAATAAGAATAAAAAAAACATTTTCCATATAATCATAAATCAGGCGACAGCTGTTGTGAAAAAGAGAAACAAAAATAACATAAAACAATTTCATTTTATAGTTGTTGCTAAATTTCTTTTTAAGTACCGACATTTGACTCCGCAAAATCCATTCAAAAATTTCTCTTTATTTTAACACAATTTGGTCGCTGTGGACATAAAACAACCCAGATGAATGCATGTTAATTCCGCATTCTGTGCACATGCATTTAGCTAAACGGCCGGAAACCATGTATTTTGCGTGAAATTAAAATGCAAATTTTTAAAAGCTCCCCTACAATTCAGTTCATCATATCAGATTGTTGAATACACATGCAGTTAAATGGTTTTGTATGTTGATGATAATAATTTTTGATAGTGTTGAACAGAGAAAAATTTGAATATTTTTTGAGCATAGAACTTATAAAAAATACGTTAATTGTCCAAACTCAAGGGAAAATTGAAGGGAACATTGCTAAAAACAAAAAATATGAAATTTTGGCCTTTTAATATAATTTTTATATCCTTTATTGTACCAAATTTGTATGGTCTATTTCAATCACTGCTATTTCTCCCTAATTCCCTTCAACTTCTTAACCAGCCTTTTTCAAAAATGTTCTCATTTTATTTAATTCAATCAACGCTAATAATAACATTGCTACAAAAAGAGTCATTCAACTATCATTACATAATTAAAATTCTTCCCAGTAATTGGTTGCAATTGGAATACAATTCCCAGCTTAAATTGGGCTTTAACTGAAATTTATATGCAGCAAAGCTGTTATGGTGCCATGCTAATTTATATCTTCTAATTGTTTGATTATGTTTCAGGATTTATGACCAAAACGCTACTGAATATTGTTACTAGAGACCTAGATACGAACATAGACAAAATATTGTACTCATTAGTTCTTGTTCTATTTCAGGCTGGTTCCCTCAAGGCAAAAGCTGAAAGTTAACGATTATCATTGGTATGTATTTTATTTGTCTGTTAAAATGGGTTAAATTCTATTGAATTATAAAAGTAGATTTCAAGTGTCGAGCTTTCATCTCGAAAAGGATAACAAGGAAAGTGTAATGGAAATGATGCTTGAAAGCAAACGACATTTACTCGCAATCCTTTGATGCACATAAATACAAGTAAAGAAAACATTATGTTCATGTAATTAGTCACGAGTCACGAAGTTATTTCGTAGAGAAGAAAACAAAGAAATTTCAGACTTTTTAACCAATTTGGTAGAATAAAAATCGCTTTGTAGTTCTTTTTCCATGGATTTTTTGACATAGCTCGACATCTACTGATTAAGAAATATTTTTTGTCTTCTCTAACACCTGCACCGAAATTTTGGTGCTATATTTGAAATAAATCAATTGGGGTGCGAGATATTATTTTTTAGTTTTTATTTTATGCTAAATGAAGTGAAAGTACTTTCATAGCGTTTGAATTATTGCTTAACAAGATATGAAAGGTTTTGTAGGGAAAAACTTCAAAAATTGTACATTTTATAGTTTAAGATATGATTTTAGTCATCATCATCATTAATAAGCGTCATCAACATCATTAATAAGCCCACTGCTAAACACAATGCCTTCCTTAGTCCATTGTGCTCCATCTTGTGACGACATCATCTAGTTTGGCTCTATTCTCGTGACATTGTCAAGTCATCTTGTTGTTGATGGGCATCGTCTATCACAAAAGCTGTCTTAGCTGGGTTCGGCTATTCAGCACGGAGTTAGAGTGGAGTAATAACAGATTTTTGTCACGTGATCTATGGAGTGATTAGAGTGAAAAATTAATACACGAACGACCGGAACGGCAGGAGCAAAATTGTCAAACAGCTGATTTGTGTTGTTGACTCTTCAACGTTCCAGTTTCCAATTTTTTTTTTTCACTTTTGCCTTTGGTCTTTCGTGTACTATAAATGAACTTCAATTCCCCCACAATAATGAATAATATGATGCTTTTGCCTCTGTTCAACTTTGTCAAGAACGTGACAACGCAACAAGCTTGACAGTTTACACATTTCACTTCTGGGCATGCTTACTCTAAAAAATTCTCTTTCCGAGGTGGAATTTTTGTAGCGAATTCCATTTACTCCATTCCGTATAGTCGAACGCTAATGGAGTCACCCCTAATATGCCAAAAAGCAATAACCGAACGGCTGGAGTGCGAATGGAGTCACTTGGAGTGCATGGAGTGAGCAAGCCGAACCAACCTCATATCGGTCTCCACTCCAGAACTTCCTTCATGTGCGTCATCCTTGCACGATTGCATCGGTTACTGCAGGTATTCTACGGATTTTTGTATTTGCGATTCTGTTTCCCAGCGCACTTGTTTTCGAAACTTTAGAATATTGCTCAGCTTTCCGGATGCCGCCCAACGCGAACCAACTCTTCGTCCTATTTCACAAGTCCCTTTCCATGCGAATCTCATATTTCATATATTCATGAAATTCAACGTGTATTGTGTTTTGCTGATTTATTTTTAGGCCCACACTTTTAGAAAACCTATTCCGCACTGGTTAAATATATTTTGCTTGGTTACTTATCAGACTAATGTCGTACGTAATTCTTCGTTTGTTTCTGATTTCATAATTGATTTTCTTGAATATACACTGTAGAAGCGTCGTGAAAAGTTTAGGGGATTGATGAAGTTTGGACTTACTTTGTTTTTTATGTTTGTTATGTTTCTTCTGCCTTCTGAAAATACTTTGTCTAGGTAATTTTACACCTCTATCATCTTTCATAACTTTGGTACCTCCAAGTGCAATATCATCGTAGAGACTTTCAATTTATTCATCTTGGTGTGAGGATGTTGGTCTTGATGTTTTTTAATTTGTATTCGTTATTTACTTTATAGGTAAGATACGTCACCCTCGGATAAATACATTTGATCTCTGTGATGTCCGACACATATTTTTTGTCTGTTAAAAGACTTCTTAACCATTGACATGTTCCCATCCATTCCAGTGAAACCTGTTTCCTGAATGACAAGTTGTTATCTTAGCTCATCTCATGTACAATCGTTCCCTTGATGTGAGAAGTCTTATAACTTGAAAAGGTAGCAGAGAATGACTGATTATACTCTGAGCACCTACTTCTTCTTTGTTGTCGAATACTTGATAGGTCTATAACACTCTTTAGTAGTGAGCAGTTGACTGTTAGGTGTGATTGAGTACAAACAACTGATGATTTAGTACTAATTTATTTTAGGAACGGTTACACTATTTATACACAAAGAAATTGGATATTTACAAAGTTAGTTAACTAACTTATATATTTTACAGACCCACTGTTCGTAATGTAGATGACTTCAAAAATGCTTGGCTAGCTTGGTAAATAGAAAATAATTAATATACCTATTTATTAACTAGACATTCTGGCCAATCCGTTCTGGAAAAAAAAGGCTAATCTGTGATTAGACTGGAACCCCGGCTTCTCATTGCGTGGAGTTGGACTTGGTGTTACTGAACATAACGTAAGGTTAACGTTTGGTCAACCAAAGCTTCTCCTGGTATGTGGGTATTGTGCCTACTGGATTTCTTTCTTGCAAATACAACCATATTAGAAGCATTGCAGTGTTTTGATCGACCAATATGGAGCTGCGGTTGTACCATATGTTACTGTTGTGAGACAGTATTCTTGTATTAGAAATTTTTTGTCCAACTACCAAAGAATTCATTGAAATTTCTGATCGTCTGGATGGATTTTGATTTGTCTATACATTTTCTCAATGTCAGCTGTGATAACTATTCTGTGTGATCTCCAACGTTAAAGAATATCCGAAAGCTCTTGCTGTAATTTGGGAACAGTGTACATTGTTTCGTTCAGGCTGGACCCAGAAAAAGTCTTGCTGGATGCATCAAAGACTACTCGTAGCTTGGTCGTTGTGCTTGATTCTTTTAAAACATGGTGATGAGGAATTTAGTATTTTGAAAATTCTGTACCTTTTCCAACGCAGATTTTCATGTGTCCCAGATCTAAGTAATCTTGCATAAATTGTTTGTAAATGAATAGTCTCTCGTCTCTTAAGAGCTTTTTCTCTAATTGTATAAGTCTTGCTGCAGCTCTCTGTTTTGTTATTCCCATAGTTTGTTCTTTGCCATTGAACGGTATTCTCACAGTGTAAGTACCATCTTTGTCTCTAGTTGTGTTTAGAGCATATTGTTCCTCACAGATCTCCTCATCTTTAGTCATTTGTCTTGACTAGGAGATCTCCTCTATTTCCCAGAATTTGGATAGCTGTAGATCTTCTTGAATGCCGGTTGTCACTGTTAGAACCAAGAGTTTTTTATCTTTGTTAATTCCAGTGTTTCCATAAAAGATCCATCCGAATTCGGTGTTCTGTCCCAGTATGCCATCATTCGTTTTCCTGATGCCTTCAAGTAAAATCTGAGGGTATTCTTTGACGCCCAAAATAATGTCAATCGGACCAGGCTTCTGAAATGTAGAATCCGCCACAGGGTCATTGTTCCACTGAGATATATTGACATCTAATGGCTTTCCAGGTAATGTTAGTCTGAGTTTAGGCAGCACAAGAAACACGATGTCTAACGAGAAAGTTGCTTGGAAATCTTGGGTGGATTGTTGTTTCTATCTGCCATTTTGCTGTCTGGGGGTCTCGCACACCTAGACCTGATATCTCGACTCTGATCTTTTTTCTGGGTCATGGAAGGAGGCATGCAGCTTCCTTTGTGATAAAATATGACTGAGACTCGGAATCTACTAGGACTAGATTCTCATAGTCTCCTTGTGATTTTTTCACTTTTATTAATGCTGCCGCTAACAACACCATTTCATCTTTTCTGCTAGCGTGGTTTGTAGTTTACTCTTTGTTTCGGCTTCCATGATGATAAGGATAATTATCTCCTGGTGATCTTTTTGGTTGATTTTTATTTTGAGAGAAGTCTACGTGAACATGGGTATGGTGAGATTTATTGCAGATTCGGCATCGACCGGTGGAGGTACGCCATGTTATATTTTCATCATGATTGAGACAATTAATACACAGTTTCTTCTCCTTATAAACTGTGCTCAAGCGTGCAGAGGAAGATAAGGCTTGAAACCTGGTACAATTATATATTGTATCCGATGACTGCGAACAATATTTGCATCTAGCATCCGTAATTTTGTTGGGTTTAACTGGTAAAATCTTCGGACAAACTGAGATGGCTTCTAGTGATTGAAATCTTGCCTGTAGAAATCTTTTCATTTCGACAAAATCTTGTAATTTATGGGGCTCTTCTAATGATTGTTCGTATAGTTTGTTTATTTCGGAATCCCATTTCCGAGCTACCATACGACTTATTATTACACTCCGTGACGCTGTGTCAATCTTGATGCTTTTCAGATCTTCCAAACATTTGATGATGGTGTCATGCAGCTGTTTTATGTTTGATGCTGAATCGCAGGAATATCCAAGATTCTGTCTATTAGTTTTGAGATGATAAGTATTTCATCGCTGTAACGATCGCTTAAGATTTGCCATGCTGTCTGATAGTTAATGTCTGAAATTTGGAGATGCTGTATGAGTCTGCTGGCTTCTCTTCGAATATGGGTTTTACGGTACTGCATATTCTTAATCTGCGTCGGATTTTTGTTTCCATGGACTACCTTCCTGAAGATGTCTCGGAAAGTTACCCATTCTTCATACTGACCATCGAAAAATGTTTACTTTATCTGAGGAAGACTGATATTGCATAATTTTGGCGCTTGAGTCGGAATATCCTGGCCTCGGATTTTGGATTCCAATATTTCTAGAATATCTTCAAATTTGAGCTGGATTTCTTCATAGGGATTCCTAATTGTTTTAGCACGACCCTAAACTTGTAGGTCAATGTATATCTCGAAGATGGTCTCCCAATCCGTCGAAACTTTGTTGTATAATAGTTGATAACGACTGATTGATTTCTCCGCCTACAAATCATTGATGATTTTATCTAGAATCTGGCTAAGTTGATTAATTCGAACT